AATGAACATTTGAATTTCACTTTTTGGTTATTACTAAGAATGCTGCTGTGAATATCATACAACTTTTTATGTGGATATGTTTTTATTTCTGTTGGGTATTTACTTAAAAATGGTTAGTTGTGGATAATATGGTAACTCTGTACTGACTATTTGAGAAACCAACTGTCAAGTATCCATTTTGCATTCACACCAACAGTGTTATGAGGGTTCCAGTTTCCACATCCTGAAAAATACATTTTTGCTGTCTTTTTTTCTTTTTCTTTTTTTTAACCATCTGGAGAGTTAATTAAGTCATCCTCTTGAGGCAATTTACTTTTAGATCTTTTGAATTTTTTAAATGGTTAGGAATTTTAATAGGCAGGAATTAGAGATTTGAATTAGAAAATCAAGGCTCTTTGTGTAATCACATGTAAACATGCTGTTTTTCACACCTGATTGTATACTTGGAATGTGGCTGGTGTGCAACTTGGGCTTGGAAGGGACCAGAACAGCTATATTTGTACCACTAGGTGTCCCAGCCCCTGCTATAGCAGCCCCACCATTAACTTGCTGCTCATGGCAGCGTGTTTAAGACTAGAATTAGAAAAGTTTTTCACTTAGAAGATCCAGAATCAGCCTGCATCTTTCCTATTGTTCCATTGTTCCTGGCTCTGTTCCCAGTTCTGTTCTCTGAAGGCGCAGAAAATAGGGCTTGTCTTTCACCTAGGGCTTGTGTTTCACCTCTTGATTCCCCACTTCTCTGAAGTATTTTCTCTCAGGTTTTCAAAATGAACCTTTCTACACAGGTCATTCCTCACAAGTCTTGCTTTTTACTCCCTTTTCCTAAGCAGCTTTCCTGGGTCTATTTAATTTGTCGGTATCCCATTTTTAAATAAATCCTTTAAATAAGCAAATTGTGCTTCATATGGTGAAAGCATGTTGGCAGCAGATTAGTCATGTGCCTTTCTGTTGCTAAACTATTTATGGCCTAACATGTTTTACTCCTGTTGAACTCACCAGTCATTAAACCTTCTTTTGCCAGAGTCATCCCTGTGTTCCTTCTCCCCAGAGTCCTGATTCACAGCCTCCCAGAGCCTGTGTGTTTAGCTCCTTAATTTGACTCCAGAAACCCCCTAGAATCCCTCAAGTAATGTCCCCTCCAACATTTTATTTTAAAACAAATCTGAGTTGGAGTCAACCATTGTGACCAAGGAAGTGTGAGTGATTAGAAAATAAACTTCACCAAGATCATCCCCTCCAATTTTTAGTGTGCTAATTCTCACCTCTTAAACTGGTAATATAATCAGATGGTATAAAATTTTAGATATGTGAAGACTGTCCTCATCCCTATGGCCAAGACACCCATCTCTCAGAATCACTCATTGTTGCTAGTTCTTACATATCTTTGATGTTCAAGTGGCTTTACCGAAGTGTGATTTACATACCAAAAAATTCCTCCATTTTAAATGTACAACTCAGCCATTTTTAGTAAATTTATAGTTAGTCTAATCCCCGTGATTCAGTTTAGAGAACATTTCTGCTAACGCCAAAATGTTCCTTTTTCCTGTTTGCAATCAATCCATAGTTTCAGCCCCCAGACAACCTCTAATCTGTTTTCCATATATAAGTAAGATGATATGTAGTAATTTGTATCTGATTTCTTTAACTTAATGTGGTATTTTCCAGCTTCACATATATAGTAATATGTATCAGTAGTTTTTTTTTATTGCTGACTAGTATTCTAATGTGGGGCATACTATATTTTGTTAATCCATTTACTAGTTTTTGAACATTTGTGTAAACATCTCTGTGTGGACTTTTTTTTTTCACTTCTAGCTATATACCTAGAAGTGGAATTAATGTATTTTAAGTTTGTGTTTAATTTTTTTTTAAAGATTTATTTTTTTTATTCATATAGAACTGGGGTACAGGCCAGAGATGTGGAAGGTGAGAGTATTCACCAGAGACAGAGTGGGGAGCAGGACAGGCCGACTGACGAAGTACACTGCTGAGGGGAGCAGCGGGCAGGTCAGGAGAGGTCTGCCGTGCTATGTGGGTTTCCTCCGGGGCAGGCGGGGATGGAACTCCTGCGGAAGTGGCTTTGGCTTCTTAGTGCTGTGCTTTAACCCGCTGTGCCACCAGGGAGGGCCAAGTTTGTGTTTAATTTTTAAGAAAATGTCAGTGTTTCCCAAAGTGTATCATTTTACATTCCCACTAGAAATAATTATTGGCCACTCATCTTTGATGAAATGGCTCTTCAAATCTTTTACCCATTTTTAAATTACATTAGCATGGAATGTCACACTATTTAAATCTTTAGTTTCTCCTACTAAAGTTTTAGAGTTTTCAGTAAGCAAGCCTATACTTCTGTTGTTCAGCTTATTCCCAAATATTTCATTCTTTTCACTGCTATTTTGTAAAAGATTATTACCTTTAATTTTTTCATGTTGCTCAATGCTAGAATCTTCTATCTTATTGATCTTAAGTTATACAATATAGTTAAGCTTATTCATAGTTTCAGTGCTTTATGAATTCTTAGTATTAAAACTTTTGTTTTTTTCTTCTAATCTTTGTTCTTTGTTTCTTTTTTCTTTCACAGATATTTTATAAAAAAGCAAATGCTATGTATTTTTTTATCCTCCTATACACAGACCATTTTCTGTTGCATCAAAGTTACTACAATTTCTTCTGCCTAATGTATAGGACTTTACAGTTGTCCTTTGTTTGATTTGTCCCATCATTCCTGTTATTGTTTAGCAGCCAGTTAGGTGCAGGTGTGTATTGTATGGGGAAATCTGCTTACCATATCTTTACAATATAGGATGTGAAGGAATAGCTAGAGCACATCAAGTGACTGGCAGACAATAGGTGCATAGTAAATATTCATTGTTGAATGCATGATAACATCACTCAGTAAAGGTCTCCTTATTAATAGTATGTGGGTACGAGTGGTTGAACCAGGGCCTTTCTGGTAGCACGAGGGGTTAATTCTTCATACTGTGAAGCTGTCACCAGCCACTGCAGCACAGCTTCAGTCTCCTGGCCAGGGAGGTGACCCACATGGCACAGCAGACCTCTCCTGTCTCACCTGCTGCACCCCTCAGCAATGAATTTCAGTAGATCTGCCTGCTTTGCTCCCCACTTTGTCTCTGGTAAATCCTCTCACCCCCCTCCCCACACGTCTGGCCTACACCCTAGCTCCTGTATGCATAAAAAAAATTTTTTTTTAAAAAGAAGTTATTGAACCAGTTATGCCTCTATCAACTTATAACTCCATCTTGACCTCAAAGTTGTGTGTTTTGTTTTAACTCAAATCTAGTTGTACTCTGCTACTGTCTATAACTTGGCAAGGTTTATTCTGCCTGCGTTTCAGAACACTGGCTGAAATTTACTAATCATTTCTTTGACTTCCAAATGCTTCCAAATTATCTGATAGGTAATCCATTCCAGAATTTTAGGGGGTCACTGTTAAGCCCATAGTTTGCAAAAATCAACAGTTACCATTTTGAAAAAGAAAACATTTCCTGACTTAATCCCCCCTAGTATAACTCCTCTTTTCCAGAATTGTGTTGCAAGGTTCCTGAAAGCCCTGGAGTATAGGTTATCTGTCAGCAGCTCAGGGGGACAGATACTCTCAATTTCCTTTCTTGATTTTGCTTAAACAGATAAAAATCACCAGCATTGGTGGGAATGCAAACTAGTACAACCACTATGGAAAACTGTTTGGAGGTTCCTCAAACTGCTAACCATGGAGCTTCCCTACGACCCAGCAATCCCACTCCTAGGTATCTACCCCAAAAGACACAAAAATACTGATTGAAAAAGATACCTGCACCCCCATGTTTATTGCTGCTTTATTTACAATAGGAAAAACATGGAAGCAGCCCAAATGCCCAAAAGTAGATGACTGGATTAAAAAGATGTGGTACATATATACAATGGAATATTACTCAGTAACCAAAAAAGAGAAACACATGTCTTTTGCAGCAACTTGGATGGAGCTTAAGATCATGCTTAGTGAGATAAGCCAGAAAGAGAAAGAAAAATACCAGATGGTTTCACTCATAGCAGGAGTATAATGGACCAGGCGAGAAAATAACAAAAATAATGAACAACCATATACCAGAGACATTCTGTGGGGGTGGAGTGGGGAATGGGATCAAAAATGGGGGGGTGAGGGAGGGAAATGCATGGGATTATGGTGATGGCACATGGGTGACTTGGTGATGGGAAACCCATGGGGATTACAATTGAGATGGAAAAAAAATGTACAAAATGATGAAAAAATAAACTTATAAAAAAAAATCACCAGCATTTATTCAAAATATAAGTGCTTGGACTCCTTCCTAAGAGGTTCTAACTCATTGCTCTGGGTCAGGGCACCTCCCCCATGATATTTTTATGATTAACAAGTTTAAGAAATACTGTTTTATACTATATTTTATTTAAATATCTTATGACTACCTTTTTTTGTCATCCACTAACATTCCAACTTCAGTCAATGAATTTGACTTTAATTGTTCTGCTTGAATCTATATAAATTAAAAGTCCTCTTGGGCTCTTTCATTCTTTTTTTGCAATACTCTACTGATTCAGGGCTTCTCATGACATTCTTTGGCATTAATCCTTGTAAAAGTAACTTGAGTCTGATCTTACTGGAGAGCACTCTACAGCTTATCACTCGTTATTCCCCAGCCCTCTTTATCTTTCTTCAAAAATTAATACAGATGTTAAGTCAGCATTTAATTCTCAATACCCACAAGGCTAATCTTTGGCTAGCATCCTGTTCAGTTTTTTTCAGTACTGGGAACATATACAGCTTTTTTTGTCTTGAAAGAGCTCAGATACTTATCCCTTCTATCACAAATAAGGTGGTAGCATGTTCATATTGTTATTAAGTTTCCTGGCAACTTAATCTTATTTGAGTTAGAAAAAACTCTTGGTGACTTGTATGTTTTCTTATCCTGTCAGTAACCGTGCCATTGATTGCAGGTAATAACAGGCTTTCTCTTGTTTTTCAGGTTTCTAACCAAGTGATTTCCTCTGACTCTATTTCATCTCCTACCAATAGTTTCTGGAGCTTGAGCTCTACTTTTTGCAACAAGCAAAATGTACAAATGTTAAACAAAGGAGTACAAGCAGGTAAATGACTTGATTTAAACATTTCCATTGAAATATAAATGACGCTTAAGGTACTCAGCCACACTCATGATAAAAGAAATGAAGGTTAAATATATACTCAAGTGTTATGTTTCACCTCTCAAAATGGCAAAAATCTAAATTTTGATAGTTTGTGGGAAGGGTGTAAGCAAATAGGTACTCTCATACATGTTAGTGCAGCTGTAAATTAGAAGTACAATCCCTATGACAGGCAACTTAGGGGTTTACTTAGCATTTTTATTTAAGGAATTTATTCTTTAGATATTGCTGTGCATATGAACAAACTGGCAAGTGTACAGAATTAACCACCAAAGTGTTGCTCATTGTAGTAGAAAACTACAATCAACTTAGACATTCACTAATAAAATGGTTAAATTCCTGTACATTCATATATTGAAATGAATGTACATTCATATATTCTACATAGGATAAGGAAGCTCTCTCTCTACTAATATAGAAAGATCACCAAGACATGCAAAAAACAAAAAAGGTACAAGAAAGAGTCTTAACATTCTACTACTTGTATTTAAAAAATAAAGAAAATTGCTTGAATGTGAAAAAAATGTACCCTGGAATCATGGGGTTATAAACTAAGTGAATCCGTGCCAGGAGTAGATGGAGACTGTCTGCTCTGTGCCTCACTCTTATCTTCTGATTTTACAAAACAAAAATAATTTCTGTCCTCTGCCCCTTGAATTTTAAGTACTGTCAACCTTTTCTTTTTTTTTTTTTTTTTTTT